ATATATATGTATATATATATATATATAGGTTTCTAGAGGTAAAATTGCAGGGTCAGAGGATGCGCATTTAATGTCTATGAACATTTCCATTATTTATTTAACCATTTCCCTGTCTGTGGACATTTAGTCTGTTTTCAGGGTACTATGTTTGCTTTATTTTATTTTGCTATCATAAGGAGGGCTGTAGCAGTCTTGTATCCATTTTGGTGATAATGTATGCACATGAATACTGGGATTTCATCATCATGAAGTAACCTGGGTTAACTTCAGCAACTTTTACTTCTAGGATTACCATGTCATTTTGCTTCATGTTTCAAGTGGAGGACAGAGCTTCATTTATGACCTCGATACTGTCTTGCCGTTTCCCTGCCCCTTTGACACTTATGTAGAAGATGCCTTTAAGTCTGATGAAGACATTCATCCACAGTTTAGGAGGTGAGGACATTCGGGATGGATTTACTTATTTTCTGAAGTAAGACCTTGACAATTCCACAGAGCTTCTTTTTTTTTGGTAATTGTTTTGTAAAAATCACTTGTCTGGCATCACCATTGAGTTGGTATTTAAGAGTGCTTGCAACACAGAAGATTCAAAATGTTTTAAAGCTTTAAAAGTTATCCATCGTATAAAAGGTTGACATTCTTTTAAAAGTTTGTGTGATGAGATCTCAAACATTTAATTTCAAGCAGGTTGGGGATTTTTCTTATACTCTTTTTGTTTGGGGTTTGGGGGGGATACTCATGCTGTCACCATTGAGAGGGCTGTGATGGCAGCAACAGAAAATCATGCCCCTTGCCCTTGATACACAAATCAAGTAAATCAAGGCAAGCAGATATATTTTTGTGCCTTTGCCTTTCTGTTTTGGGTTTTAGTCGATCATTTCCTGTGCTTCTCTAATAGGTGGTAAAGTGGCCTATGTTATTAACCATACAGAAATGCATGAGTAGTTTTGTGCATATCATAGGAAATGAGTCCATATAAAAATTGAGTTAGAATTTAAAACATGACACCTCCCTAATGTGAGTGTATATTGATTTGTCTGCAGGAAATTTAGAGTGATCCGTGCAGATTCATATTTGAAGAACTTTGCTTCTGACCGATCTCACATGAAAGACTCCAGTGGGAACTGGAGAGAGCCTCCTCCACCATATCCCTGCATTGAGACTGGAGGTGAGCCCGGATGCCTTCTCAGAGGGGAGTTCTGATTGATCACGTACACATTAGCATTTTTCCTGAATGGAGAACAAAAGTCAGGTCATTCTTTGAATAAAACTTCATGAATAATAAGGAGGTAATAGGAAATACTGCTTCTGTGTATGTATTAGATTCAGAAATAGGCCGGGTGCGGTGGCTCATGCCTGTAACCCCAGCACTTTGGTAGGCCGAGCAAGGCAGGTGGATCACCTGAGGTCAGGAGTTCGAGACCAGTCTGACCAATATGGTGAAATCCCATCTCTAAAAAAAAAAAAAAAAGAAATTGAGATACAGAGAATAGGACTAGAAGGCTTAAGAATTCATGGAAGAGGAAGAGTTTTTTGTTTTTTTTTTTTGAAATGGAGTTTTGCTCTTGTTGCCCAGCCTGGGGTGCAATTGCACAATCTTGGCTCACTGCAATCTCCACCTCCTGGGTTCAAGTGATTCTTCTGCCTTAGCCTCCCAAGTAGCTGGGATTACAGGCATGCACCATCACGCCCAGCTAATTTTGTATTTTTAGTAGAGACGGAGTTTCTCCATGTTGGTCAGGCTGGTCTTGAATTCCTGACCTCAGGTGATCTACCTGCCTCTGCCTTCCGACGTGTTGGGATTACAGGCGGGAGCCACCGTGCCTGACCAGGCAGGGTGTTAAGAATCAGAACCAGGGCACCTGGAAACTGCTGGATATTGCTACTGATGGGGCACTGGACATCAGGAGACTTGCATGCTTGTATCATTTAACAGTAGGAGTAGTAGCACCTTGCCATGGTAGGGTTTTGTGCTCTGGTGAAAGAAATCCCCATTGCATCCTTATGATGTGTGAAATGTCATTTCTTTGGCTGTATAATCAAATCTGCATTAGACAGAGGTGAGCGTAGCTGGTTTTATTGTACCGCTTGCCTCATTTTCCTGACATTTAAGAAGATAATAGGTTCTTCACCCTATTACTATTGTTTGGCATTCATATGAGTTTGAAGCATTATTTACATTTGTAAGTAATTCACAATATTCCCACTTAGGGGTGAGATCATCCCAACACATGGATAATACAGTCTGTGTGAAAGTGCTCTGTGAGCTCTGCAGCAAGTCAGAAAAATAGGCAAGTAGTGTTCATATTTCAATAAGAGTCTGGCCACGGTGGCTCATGCCTGTAATCCCAGCACTTTGGGAGGCTGAGGCAGGTGGATCACCTGAGGCCAGGAGTTTGAGACCAGCCTGACCAACATAGTGAAACCCCATCTCTACTAAAAATACAAAAATTAGCCAGGTGTGGTGGTGTGTGCCTGTTGTCCCAGCTACTTGGGAGGCTGAGAAGGAGACTCACTTGAACATGGGAAGCCGAGATTGCAGTAAGCTGAGATCACACCACTGCACTCCAGCCTGGGTGATAAGAGTAAGACTTTGTCTCAAAAAAAAAAAAAACTTTAACAAGGAAGAAAGTAAAAAATACATTTGGCATATTTGAGGGGACTTAACACTAAGTGAGGGTTCAAACTCTGACTTTTGAGGCTCCCTAAGAAAAGCTCTTGTAATTTAAAAAATTTATATTGGAATTGCTTCTCGGTACGCAAAGCTGCTTTCTGGCCTCAGTATGAGAACTGGGGAAGCTCCCTGGTTAGGAGAGGGCTTGAGGGGTCTACCTTAGCGTCTCTGGCAACCTGCTCTACAGGGCCTGGTCTGGGCACCGTGTGCCTTCAGCAGCTACCCGTTTACCCTCGGGATGTGAGCACCTAAGGCAGATCCTAGTGCATAGTAGACATTTAGTGAATCCCTTGTCAGCCCTGGTCCAACTGGGGCAATTCCTGTGGTTTTGATGACTACTACTCATTGGATGCTATTTTGTGCTGGACTTTTGCCAGCCCAATTACTATATGTGCTGTCGAGGCGAGCATTGCCGGCCCAATTATTTTCTTTCTTTTTTTGAAACTCTGTTGTCCAGGCTGGAGTGCAGTGGCAGGTTCTCAGCTCACTGCAGCCTCCACCTCCCCAGTTTAAGTGATTTTTGTGCCTCCTGAGATGCTGGGATTACAGGCGTGCACCACCACACCTGGCTAATTTTTATATTTTTAGTAAAGATGAGGTTTTTCCATGTGGGCCAGGCTGGTCTTGAACTCCCGGCCTCAGGTGATCCTTCCACCTTGGCCTCCCAAAGTGCTGGGATTACAGAGGTGAGCCACTGTGCCAGGCCCATATTAGTTTAATTTTCACCACAACTCAGTGAGGCAGGTTGTATTTTTCTCATGTGATAGATGAATAAAATGAAATGCAGGAAGGTTAAGATGTTTGCCTAAGGGTGGACAGCTAGGAAGCCGCCAGCTCAGTTAGCACATTGAGGGATTTGTCTTTTTTTTGAGATGGAGTCTTGCTCTGTCCTCAGGCTGGAGTGCAGTGGCATGATCTTGGCTCACTGCAACCTCCCACTCTCTGGTTCAAGCAATTCTCCTGCCTCAGCCTACCAAGTAGCTGGGATTATAGGCAGCTGCCACCACACCCAGCTAATTTTTGTATTTTTAGTAGAGACAGGTTTCACCATGTTGGCCAGGCTGGTCTCAATCTCTTGACCTCATGATCTGCCTGCCTCAGCCTCCAAAGTGCTGGAATTACAGGCATGAGCCACGATGCCCAGCCTCAAGGAGGGGCTTCTTACAGGAGGAGTCTTTTTGGCCTCATCTATAGTTAGTTTATCAGGAGCCTCCTGCACTTGAAATTGAACCTAGAGGGACTCTACTCTGAAGCATGGGGTAAACATATTGGTTTCCCATGTAATAATTTAATCAAATTGTAATATTCTCTTATATGGTAAATTTGTTACTTCAAACGCTGTATTTATTGAAGGAATGTATTTAGAAGTTAGGATAAGTGTGAATTACTTGTGGTGAATGAGTAGTGTTTTATTAAAAAAATAAGGAATTTAAAAAACAAACAAAAAATGACTCAAGAAAACAGACTTTAGGCTGGGCACGGTGGCTCATGCCTGTAATCCCAGCATTTTGGGAGGCTGAGGTGGGTGATCAACTGAGGACAGTTTAAGACCAGCCTGGCCAACATGGTGAAATCCCATCTCTGCAAAAAATACAAAAAATTAGCTGGATGTGGTGGCACGCACCTGTTAGTCCCAGCTACTTGGGAGGTAAGGCAGGAGAATCACTTGAACTCGGGAGGCAGAGGTTGCAGTGAGCCGAGATTGTGCCACTGCACTCCAGCCTAGGCAACAGAGCAAGACTCCGTCTCAAACAACAACAATAACAACAACAACAACAAACAAAAATTAGCCAGGTGTGGTGGTGCATGCCTGTAATCCCAGCTACCCAGGTGACTGAGGCAGGAGAATTGCTTGAATCTGGGAGGTGGAGATTGCAGTGAGCTGTCTCAAAAAAAAGAAGACAGAATTTAAATTAATGCATGTTTTAGATACATGCATTAATATAGCAGCCTTTGGGTTTAGTTATGGAATTGACTCTTTTTTTTTTTTCAAGATAGGCACTCAGTATATTGCATAGGTTGGTCTTGAACTCCTGGCTTCAAGCAGTCCTCCTACCTTGGCCTCCCAAAATACTGAGATT